TATTCCTTTTCTTCGTATTTTCCTTTTGAATCTCTTAATTCCCTATTGAAATTGTTCTAATGTCCTTCTTCTCAATAATGTAGAATTTAATCATAAAATATTGGAATAAAAATATAATTTCTAAGTTGCATTTTTGGTCTGTTAGCTCCAGGCAAATCACGCAGTCGACTCTATGATCTGTCCCGTAGCAATTTCACAGAATTGTGCAGTAAACTCACAGTTTTCAGACTAAATTAATATCAGTCATCTCAGTAAGTGTCCCTCGGACAAAAGTGAACATAAATTATCAGTCTCAAACGTGCAAGTGGTCCAGGAATAGCAGTAGTGAGTCTTTGGACGCGAAACTGTGCTGGCGTCGACGCCATAGTGCCTCACGAACAGTCATACGTACAGTACACTCCCGAACAAAGCCGTTGTATTGTGTGCCTGTCGCTACACGCGGTCTAAGAGAGACAACTCATAAATACGCAGTGATTAATTATATAGATATTCACGTTAAGTGTTTTTGTTAATAAAAACTTTAAAAAAACCGATATTATTTGTGTGTCTGAAAGTGCTTATCTGAACCTTCTAGCATTCAACCTCTTGAATTAATCCTACATTCCACTTAATGTATAGAAATATTTGTAAAAGATGGTGTTAGTTCTTTTTTATTCGATCTTAGTGTTGCTACAACTGTTAGATTTTTATTGAAAAGATCATTGACTAAAGGAATACTACAAAACCAGTGATTCATAGTTATATTCCGCCCAGTTCCTTCAAGTTTTGTTACTACACGATTCACTAAATTACGGGGTGAGTTAGAGACATTATGAGGACTATCAGGTTGTTTGCCAGCATATATTTCCATCGTTGCAGTGTACCACGTATTCGAATCCACCATAGCAAATATTTTTACACCATATCCAGCTGGTTTACTCGGGATATATTGCCGAAACAAACATCTTCCACGGAATGAGACCAGTTCATCATCTATAGTGACATTTCCTCCAACAGTATAATATTTTTCACAATTATTAATAAACATTTTGAACACTTCAAGAATAGGAGCCAATTAATCTTTTTTAACTTCCCAGTGGAAAGTTATAGTAATGGGTCCGATTTTGCGAATCGCTAATTTTGAAATATCTCCACGTTTTAAGGTCCCCAGAGTTGAATACGATAGTTTTTACGTGGACGTCTGTGTGTGTGTATGTACGTATGTGCGTATGTGCATATGTGCGTACGTACGTTCGGATTTTTTTTTCGCCTCGATTATCTCGAGAACAAAAAATGATATCGATGTGGGACTAATAGTATTCGACGCGTAATTACGTAACTTAGAACTAAAAAAGTTTTCAGGAAAATCGGTAAAGCCATTTTTTTGGCAGAATCAAAAAACTGGAAAAATAGTGAACTACCTAAATTCTGCAATTTATAAATTATACCATTTTTTAGACGGAATTTCGAGATCTTTTGAAAAACATCAATATCAAATGTTTAGAATAATTGTACAGAAATATGATGACAGTATTTCATAGAAAAAAAAAAATTTAAAAAACAATATCAGCAATGAAAGAATTTTAAACTCGTGTCAGGATTGAGAAAACAGCATCAAAGACGCTATGATAGTCAATAATAATTGTCAATAATATGGAATTGTGTTTATAACAATTGAACATTGTTACTAACAAGTGATTATTGATCATAGTAATATTTAAATAATAAGTTTTAAATTGTTATAAACAATAAAAATAGGGACCCTTCCTATATATATATGAGTACTTTTAACGGATAATTTTTTCGTTTACTAGAAAAATGTTACCAACCGTATGCCATAAATGAAAACATACTTTTTTCGTGTATAACAATGAAATTCGTGGTAAATAATGAAAAAAAGGATCTATGAGGTACATTCGAATTCTTCTAACGCACAATTTTTTCTTTTACTGAAATAAAGTAACTAACCATATCAAATGAATAAAAACAGACTCATTTCGTTTATAACAATTCCATTTGTTATAAAAAATGGAAACGGGTTCTATTCAAATTGTTTTTTTATTTTTTCCACTGGGAAGTTGGTCGTGTGGACCTTTCGGGTCGCACCCAGACCACTGCAGAGCACTGATATTTTTTTCTTCCAGCTCGATCTCCATAATCATTAAATCTTAGGCAACGAAGAATAAACTTGAACCTCCTTAAATTTATAGTAACTCTGAACACATCAATTCCTAGTCCATTTTTCTCCCATAGCTCATCTAAATTTCTATGACTAGATTTTGTCAATCTGAGTAATATCAATGGACCAATAAACGTTTTCATTTCTTCTAAATCAATAAGCTTGCAATCACGATCACGTAGACAAGATTCGGAAATTTTTTGATGTAGAGATTGGTACAGTAAACAGTATGTTTTAGAATCATGTCATCTAGAAAAAGTAACATAGATTCTTCGAGAGTTTGAATATCTTTGGCTTTTCCTTTAGGCCCAGGCAAGCGTAAAACAATGTTGTTGCGACGAGTACGTACATTTTGTGGAGGACGAGTTTTTCTCCACTTTGTAACTTTATCTTTCCCGATATAATATAGGTTTGAACGTTTTTCAGCATTATTATTATTCGAATCAGTTGAATTTACTTCAACGTCATCACAATCTTGCTCCGATTCAAAATCATGATTTGAACATTCTATCTGATCCTCTTCATTGTCATCCGATTCTTCCCACTTAAATTTATCACGCTCATCTAATAAGAGATTTGCCAATCCATCAATATCTAGCATTTGTGCAGTCTATTTATAAATAGAAAATAAAGAAAATAGTAATTTAGAATCGAGAATATACTAAATCAAAATTTAAAAGAAATCTGAAATTCTGATTCATTTTATTCAAAAGAATATACAGTAATACCCCGGACTTACGCGATAGGTAGGACTGAGCGCTATCCGCGTAAGTTGAATTCGCGTAAGTCGGGGGACAATTTTGCATATAAAGACATACAAAGTATGTTTAATCGGGACTGGAGACTAAATAAAACAATAATTCAGGAAATAATTAGTATCTAATTCTAGATCGCGTAACTCTGAATTCGCGTGAGTCGAGGTAGCGTAAGTCGGGGTATTACTGTATTTACAAAATTATGTATAGTTCAATAGAAGTAAAAATTAAATTTTGAGGTTAAGTCGTGTTAACTTATATTCATTTTTCTTTAATTGAAGGTTAACTTAATAATTATAAATATTCGATTTATGAATTTATACTTGAATAAACTTCAATTGAACGTACCATATTTTATTCGAAATCGTTATCCACATAAATGCTTACAAGTAATTGTCACGCAAACGGTCGCGTGGGGTCTTTTAGACCCCCAAGAAGTTTTTAATCATAAATAACTTGAACAACAATGATCGAAAATATGTGAAACTGTTTCGGATCCCTTCTTAAAAGATTAGTTTGAACGCGACCGTTGAAGGGTTAATTCGATTTTTCTCATCACGGCCTACTCGAAGTCAGAACAATTTTAAAATTGTTATTTTAAAATATTTGCTATGAAGCAAACTTGATTAATGTTTAAATGATTTCAAGATCTTGACTCAAAAAACTTAGACGAAAATCATGTCTCTATGTTTTAGAATAGCTCAGTAGGCAACGTACTAGACTGTGGACCCGAGAATACCAAGATCGAATCTCACTATCATCAGGATTGTTTCAGACAAAGTTTCTAATAAATTTCATTCAAGGTGTATCTTTAAACACCAAATCCGTATAAACAAAGAACCTCTAGAGCGAATAAAAATTTCTTTTCTGTAGTAAGAAGATCCTATTGAAATGTTCAATAGGTTTACCTTTATTCTGGTAGAAAGTTTCGAGAGCATTAAAATCCCATCAAATAACGTCAAATCCAATCGCAAAGTTGAATAAAATTTGTCCATCTCAAAAAGGAATCCGTTACATTTAAAAATTCTATTGAATTACATTCAGTCCTATTATAACGTTTAATCGGTTTATCTTTAATTTAATAAGAAAATTCGAAACCATCAAAATCTCATTAAATAACATCTAATCCTAATGGAAAGTTGAAAAAGATTATAAAGTTAATATTTAAATCCTATGAAAATTTTTTCGTTCCCATAGAAAAACTGAGAAGGATTCAATACAAAATTTCCGATGCAATTTTTCCATTCAATTTTTATATCCAAATAGAATCGTTTCCTTTGTAAAACAAACCGATAGAACCAGACAGAGAACGACAGGATTCTCATCCGGTTATGCACGCCTTTATTGTACGCTATTGTACCTATAAAAGAAAATTTATTTCCGAAAAGAGATTTAAATCGTAATCTGTCGTAATCAATCCGGAAAAATTTATACGGAAACCTGAGACACATTCCTTATTGCATCATATCGTTTTGTATCGTAAATCACGATTAGAGAAATTATTGTAATCTATCGTAACTGATCGTAACCAGAAATTTTATCGTTTGAAATACGGAAAATAGGACAAACAATAGTACATTGTGCATCAAGGGCGCAAAATTGCTGATTTCCGACGAGTGTGAGTTTTAGCCCCGAGCGAAGCGAGGGAGCTAAATTCACACGAGTCGAGTATCAGCAATTGCTGCCCGAGATGCACATACTATTTTTTAATGCTAAGGGCGTTAAATCTAGATTAAAATTATAAAGATAAATTATTAAAGTAATACTATATTTTTAATGTTAAGGGCGCTAAATCTATATTGGAATTATTATCAAAGTAGATTATACAAGTCATTTTTGTTAATGATTTTGTTTATTTTCATTAGTTAAATTAAATGTTACATTGCAATTTTCAAAGTGAAATGCAGCCCTCTTTTCTAAACTTGATTTAATATTGACAATCTGTGATTTATTTAAATTCCCGCGACTTTGAGGTTCTTCGATTTCTTCATCGAAAAAATTTTCCGGTATATCAATGGAGTTACTATCGATATTCATGTTTTTGTTGCTAGAGATTGATGAAATATCTTGCATCTTCTTTTTCTTACTTGGTGGCGACAATTGAGTATTATTATGTTGTAAAATTGCAGTAGATGGTGTAGTAGAAGTAGAAGGTGTAGTAGAAGTAGATGGTTGGATTTGTAATTGATGAGTTATCTGTTGGGTTATTTTCCTTTTGTTACACATTGAATCTTCAATATAGCCTTGAGCAACCGTGTCGGATTTCCATCTCCCATGTCGTTTGAGTGTCAACAAATCACCTCCACCATCAACAAGTAACGTTGCTGATGTCCTGCGAAACGAGTGGCCGGTATATAGTTCGGGATTAGGTAAATCCAAGAACTTAGCGATTTCCATAGGCATTTTTGCCATTTTCATTTTTCCTATAGGCTGTCGAGTACAATTTCCCAATTGGAAATTTAGAAAAAATCTATTTATAGACATATTTGATGGTCTCATGTTCATGTATTCCTTGCGGTATTCGTACATTGTCCCGTGGATAGTAAACGAACGTGATATGCCTGTCTTCGTGGTTGGAATTTTTACTAATAGCATAGTTTGATGATCTTCGACGTCCTGTATTGTTAAAGCGACTAATTCCGCTATCCTTCATGCCCCACAAACGCCAACTGCACAAGCAACCTAAGAAAAATTGAATAATTATATTATAGAATTATATTAACAATTAAATAGTAAAAGAACTCAGTAAAAACAAACAAAATTAAGAATTCAATTTTTATAGTATTTACTTTAACATCCAAATATTGATTATCTTGAGCATCGTTAAAAAATTGCGAAATTTGGCAAGCAGTGAAAACCTTTGCCTTCTTTGCAACGTAACCGCTGTGTGCTCTCTTCAAAAATCCCATGAGTCTCTTGTATTGCAAGATATCAATGTTATTATAGGCAACAATTGTTGCTCGTAACATTGAGTATCGTGACCAACATGTTGCTGACGATAATGTTTTTAATAACTCCTCGAAGTATACCAGTAAAACGTCTTCAGCAAAAGAATTCGTTTTTTTAGTTTTACACCAAGCTTTAAAATCATCATAAACTTTAGTGTACTTTATTTTTGATTTCTTAGGCAACAAATTGAGGGAAATAGCTCTTGCTTTTTCGACCAATTCCGAGGGTACTTCTATACCGTTACTCGAGTCTGAATCACTGTTATCGTCCATTTTTCACCACTGATTAGACTTTTATTTTATTCAAAAAACTGGTCACGATTTGTTCACTGTAAAAGTTGTCTTTCGACTGACTGAAAATTGTAGCAAGTTTTCTTTCCCTACTATTTTCTCTACAATAAATAAAAGATGGTTTGTAATATGCAGGCCTTATGTTCTGATGACGAATTTTTATGATAAACAAAATTCTCTAAGGACTCGAAAGTGATAAAAAATTATCATCTGTTTAGGATTAAGGTAGGATTACTTCAGTTTTATGACCACTTCAAGACTAAGTGCTGAGTTTTAAATATAAAATAAACAATAGGTCAAGCCACACATAATAAAATTTAAAGAATCCATTGAGATTGAGTGTTTAGTTTAGTACAAGCATTTAGTTTCTGTATGTAAAGAGATAAGCAGCCTAGGTCAAGAAAGAACCATTTTGCGCCCAGTATGCTGGCACGGAAAATAGTCATTTTGCGCCCTGTGCATTGAAAAAATATGCACATAATTCCCTATCGTATCACTGTAAATCCCAGTTTTCCAAAATCCATTATTTTAATGCGAACAAGCGTGTTAAATATGACGTCACCCATTTTATTAACATTGTAGTCACTTTTGACGCAGATCTAAATGTGTAAAAAGTGACTAAAATGTTAATCAAATGGGTGACGTCAGATTTAACACACTTATCCTTATGAAAATAACGCATGTTTGAAAACTGAGATTTACAGTATAACGTCCGAATAAGACGTCTATCGTAATCTTTGACAACTTTTTGGAGAATATAAGTTCATCGTATTGAATTCGGCAAACATAGAGGACAGTGAGCAACGATAAACACAAATATTTATTTCGTATTCTATCATAATCTATTGACAATATTATGTTTACTACAGAATTTTCAATCGTATCCTGTCGTAATTAATCGTAAATATATTATTCACTGAATAAGAGCCGGTCGTTTATCAATTGTACCTATTCTGGTCATTTCAGCATATTTTGTCATATCTTATTGTAACAAATTGTACTATTACGGTATTATACTATATTGTACTGTATTGTACTATATGTACTATTTACGGGATAATATCCAATCGTATTCTGTCGTATTCAACCATACATATTCGATTTGTTTAATAAACTATTCTATTCTGTCGTAACCAATCGTAAATATATTATTTGCTCCAGGATATCCTGTTATATTCTGTTGTAATCAATTGTGAATATGTTATTCACTCCATAATATTCTCATGTATTCTAGATATTCTAAAATGAACGGAATATGTATAATTAGTTACGACAAAAAACAATATGATTGTTAAAAGTTAATGTAATATGTGTGATTGTAATATATATACATGTTACTAAAATACATGTTTATATAAGCCTATTTTCTATTTGTAAATTGAGTATCAGAAAATCTAGTGAGTTAAAATCTAGGTTCAAGTTGCGTGCGGTCGTAGGTTCAAATCCCCTTAAATAGGAAAAATTTATTTCACTAAAAAAATCAAATTACACTTAAAAAATGGTAGAATGGTGAACATAATCAATGGAATCCAATAATAATACGATTGGTTACGATAAGATATTCTCTAGTGAATTAGATATTTACGATTGATTACGACAGGATACGATAGGATATTCTCCAGTAAGTAACATCGCTAAGCTATGTAACAAAATGTAATATCAATGTAAAATAATTTATGTATCGCAGTGTCTGTATAACATATATGTAACGTAAGTTACATTACACTGATGTTACTTTATTTTATTGATGCTATGGTGCACTGAGGTAACGGCTGCGACATAACATAAACATAACATAAGAGTCACTGATGTGACATTTTGTTTCAAGTATCATTGTTTGGTCACAAGGACATAATATAGCCGTCACAATTTCGAAGTTATATTAAAATCACAATGCCATGTATCTTGTACGTAACAGAGAAGTTATAATTAGGTATATATCATTAAACTCAAATTTTAGATAATTATTATGTCACCCATAAGGAAACTGGCAATGGAATCGGAAATACGAAAATGCTCTAGAATATCAGATTCAAGTTTAAATAGATATAAGGTTCAATCAATAAGGAAATGGTATTAAATGGATTATGCTTCATCATGGCATCCCTAGTAAAACAAACCAATAAAATCCAATAGATTTTTAATCCAATAGAAAAACCCATAGACAATTTATAAGAATGAATGGGAAAGTATCAGGTCTATCAGAAGAACAGAAAACGACTTATAATTCTTTTATAAGTATGAATCAGAATTTATAAGAACCTATTTGTCAAAAATGTACTGCGTCATCTCTTTCGAATCTATAAGAATCTATAAGAAAAACTATTGTTAGAATTTATAAGAACCTATTAACAATAGGTGTTTCAAATGTTATGAACTAGCTGTATAAGTACAAATAGTATTTAGATATTCATCACTCAGGTTTGTAAGAATCTCCTCGTAAAAACAAGCCTATAAAACTTATAATTCCACAAAACTATAAGACTTTATAAGAAACAATTAGCAAATGATATTTTTTAATTTCTAAATTGAGAAACAAACTGATAGTTTCTCATAAGATCCTATACGAATTTATGGGTAAGTGACGCTGTTTGATTCTTTGTCCGATTGTATACGATCCTATACAAAGAAATATTATCAGATTGAATAAGGATTTATTGGTAATTTTATTAACATGTTAACTGTTTTTATAGAAACTATCAGACCGTTTTAAAAAAAATTCTATAAAAATTTATGAGTAAGTGACGCCGATCAATGAGCATGGAACATACTTTTTAAGTATTATTTCCCTATTGAAGTTATCTGGATCCTATGGAACCTGTTTTCTCTTCCGCCTACAAAATAAGACTGCGTCCTATTTAAATATATATGATTATTATATATTCCTTTTGATCAAACGATAATCCTTTTAATTTCATTTTCAGATTGAATGAACTTTATTTCTATTCAAACTTAAATCTGATATTCTAGAGCATTTTCGTATTTCCGATTCCATTGCCAGTTTCCTTTCCAAATTTTTATAATCTTATAAAAATTCGTTAATAGGAAAAATCAGATTTCTATAGGTTCATAATATTTATCCTGAATTCGGATAAAAATCTATGTTCTCCTATTAAATTTCTTCTGAAAACAAATATTGCTCTGACTGCTCTCTAAGACGAAATTGAAAAAAAATCACGAATTCCATAGTTTCTTTTTTTTCAAATTTTATGTTTTGGAATTTAAAATAATTTTTTTATTATTAGAAAGATACCAAGGCTTCATACAAATAACAATTATCAGCAAAATTTCTTTAAAAAATTAATAAATTATAACTTTCTACTGCTATGTTTAAACGGCCATCTCAATTTCGAGAGACATAAAAAACGAATAACTAATGAATTTGTTATTTTAATTTTTGATGATTATCGTTATTCGTCACAAACCTTTGTACCTTTCTAAAAATCAAAAACATTACTCTACATCCTAAAACATCATATTTGAAATAAAATTACGAATTTTATAGTTTTTTTGAGTCAGCCTGAACTTGAAAAATGTAAGATTAGAAACTTAATATGAATAAAAATTACTTCCACCGTCGATAATTGCTTATAAGATACAAGCCAGAAATTGGCTATGTTTACGCGCCACTTAACATCGAAGTAAGGCTCCGTAACATTGATATTAGTGCGCGTGAACAGCTTTAACATTAGATGCTTAACTGCAGTTAAGGCTTTACTAAATACGATTTTAAATCAGAGTCACGGGCGATTTTTTTTTTCATTGATCAAAATTATTCATAATGACAATTACCAATTCATATTAGATTAAAATTATGTTTTCAGGTTTTAAAAACTACATTCATAGCTATATGAATTCTCATCATTCTACTCTTAGTACCCAAGCCTGCAGCTTATATTAATAGGCATAGTCAACCTGTACGAAAACATGCTAGCTCTGTGGTCAAAGCGCCAGTGTTTTATTTTGTCGGGCAGGGTTCAATTCTAGTTAGGACCATTTTTTTTTTCATCTCATTCATTAAAATTGCACATAATTACAATAATTACCCTTTCATATTAATTTAAAATTGTTTTCTAAACTTTTTGAAAAACTACATTTTTTAAGGAAGAGAATCCGTAATATCTAAGAATGTAGTTTTTGAAACTTTAGAAAAAAATTTTAAACTAATGTGAATAGGTAATAATGGACTGGAATCGAATCCTGCCCGGCGAAATAAAACACTGGTGCTCTCACCACAGAGCTAGCATATTTTCGTAAAGGTTGTCCATGTTTATTAATATAAGCCACAGACTTGGGTACGGAAGGTAAGGATAGAGCTTGCCGTCAAAGCGCCGGAACTTGCTGCTGATTGTTGTGTATCTCTCCTTTTCGACTAACATGAGGCTTTCTTAATTTTATGTGCGACACATGTGCAGAAATTAAAATAAGTAAGATGAAGACAAAAGATCATGTGCTCTTTGTTATTTATCTCGGGGTCTCAAGTAATGTTAATACGCACTGACGTAAAAATGATCGGCTGTCGTGCCCCTTTTGGAGACCATTGCTGCACCGTCTTATGAGTAGAAAACGAATTAAATTCTATCGTTGACCACCTAAAATTGTTCTTGGCAAACTCAAATTTATTTATTAGTTGTTATTACCTCAAAATCATTTACTTATGAAGAAAAAAATGGCGACTAGGGTGGAAGATAAAGTTATATTGTGTAAGTGCAATAATCAGTGTGTAATAAATGTTTCATTAATTGAAGGCTTTTGACAGGTAAGTCTGCCACGACACCTCAGATTCTAGTGAGAAATGAGTGTTGATCTTAATTAATTATTTTCATTGTGATAAATTATTTGTTTAAATAATATTAGTGTCTTCTACCCTGGAGTACAATCTGAGTTTTCAACTGAGGACTAAATTAAAAAAATACATTCATTTTTGAGGACGTGGTTTGCCAAGAACTTTTCCCTTGTAATTTTCGAGGGGAAAATTTTTG